ACCATTTAATCAATTAGGCATTTAATACATTTAATAATATAATAAAATAATAATAATAATAATAATAATAATAATAATAATAATAATAATAATAGAAATAGACAAATAATGGAATAATAATATCAATAATGCCATAATAATCTCAAAAATATTTCTAAACAAACGGGGCGTTACAGTCTACCCACCTTAAAAAGAATTTCGTCCTCGAAATTCGAAAATAAAAACATCCAAACTCTAACATCAAACATGAAGTCCGGATGTCTCCTCCTAATCTCGCCCTTAGTCTCCCCAGTCGCTTCGAACTTGTCGTGTTGGCTACTTTGCATCTCGTCGAGATCAACTGTCCTGGTCCTCAGCTGATGAACCTTCCGGTCCAGTACGGACACCAATACCTGTTCATAGGCAAGGCCGCGCTCGACCTGCAATTCGACGAAGTCCACCATGTGTTCGGGGTCATACACGTTTCGACGCAGCATCAGGACGTGAAATACGTCATGCACTCTGACTACACAGGCAGTAAAGCTAACCGGTAGGCCAAGTCTTTGACTCGTGCGAGGTTCCAAAAGGGTCCGATGTAGCTAGGCTGATGCTTTCCCTTCTTCCCGAAGCAAACCACATCTCTCAGGGGTGCGACCTTCAGGAAGACATTTATACCAACATCAATCTTCTTACGGTGAATACATATTCTCTAATCGATACTCGAGATTCCGCTCGATAATGCAGCGTCTCAAATCCCTGCCGGCTCGAGGGACATCCCTCACATGGCTAAGCAATTGATCAACAAAGCTCACTTAATCGAAAATAAAGTGACTTAGGGAATTCATACATTGATTTAGTGGAACTTCGAGCTCTCGGTTCAAGGTTCGAAAGACAAGGTTCAAGATTGTTCCAACATAATTTGGTACATGAAATTGGTCGAATGGTTCAGAAACGAATCGACGGTACGAGTCGATGCACAAGTGGCACACTTGATGGCACTGTATATGCGGGGCGTTGGGACACGTGTGTGTACCTGTTCGGAGAGCAACTGCAAGGTCGAGGTTTGGTTGTACGTACTGGCATGGTAAGTTTGGGTTCCGGTGATGACGGCTACAGCTGCGTGCGAGTCAACAGTTGGCTGCGCGCTAGCCTCGCGTCTCTCAGCACGGGCATGCATGCTCAGCCACCACTTTGCGTGGCTACACCCGACCGGGGCCAACTTTGGGTTCAAGGTACTACAAGAAAATTCTTTAATTCGGGGTCAATAATTTCCAAGGTAACTGGAAGGAAAAAGGGTTTTTCACAAAATTTTTAAACGACAACAATTTAGGATTTAATCAAAACAATTTTTCCTAATAACTAGGTATAAAACAACTTCAATAGTTTCAAGGGTTACAAGCATAAACCGAATTCCAAGTCCACCTTCCCTGACCCACACAATGTCCAGCGGACAATTAACAATAAAGATCGGGACAAATTCTCAACGGGAAAACGAGGATCGACTCCTCAGTCAGGAATAATCCCAATCACAGCAGTGACAATGAAACGCCTAGCTCACTCGACTCTTCCGACTAACAGTGTCGACCGTCACGTTAGCTCTTGGTCAAGTAGCTAACCGGCACGACAATCCTAAAGGAGCTTCCAAAGATTACGATGAACGAATATCAAAAGCAAAGACGGCCCTGCACTTCACGATGTGTCTGCACTTGGCACAGCTACCCTCCTTAAAAGATTCTTCAAAATCTTTTAAGGTGGAGAAACATTTCTCGACTCCCTAACTACAAGAGGCATCACAAAGCAAGTATTCTCAAACTTTACGAGAAAAGATAAGGCTTTGTCGATAATAAAATTGTGCAACCCTATCCGAAATCTCATCCCACGCAGAGAAAGAAAAAGACATATGGAAATTCCAAAATACTAAAATCAAGTGGCAAACAAGAGTCTCAAACACAATTCAAAAAAGTCAGCCAAACGAAAGGGAAATAAACGGAGATTTGCAAAGTTTTCGAGTAAGCAAAAACTTAGAAGTAAAACAAGGCTGCTATGACTTCACGAGTCTACGGTTAGCCCTACTGTTGCTGAGGCGGCGATGGAAGTTGTTGTTGCTACTGTTGGGGTGGTTGTTGCTGATGCGGCTGCCTCCGAGGCTCGAGGCACGCACTGAGAAAATATCCTGGACGTTGGCAGTTGAAACAGACGTTATGAGGAAACCAACACTGTCCAACATGGGTTTGAAAGCAAGTAGTACACCTCGGATGGACGCCATGTGGGGTATCACGATGATCAGGGCCTTTGCGCCCCTACGCCTTTCTTTCTTCTGATCTTGGCAGAAATCCACTCTTCTCTTGCCCGAACTAGAGCCGGGCTTGGCAACATTGGCTGGCTGTTTCGCAGGGGCTGACTGAAGGGACGGAACGACTGCCCGCTGATCATTCTGGCAGACCTCTAGCTCAGTGGCTCGGCAGACCATCTCGAAGTAGGGCAGAACTCCGTGGCCAGTCAGGGTATAACAGAGGTCGTGGCGAAGACCATCTCGAAAGAGAACGGCCTTCTTCTCATCGGTATCCATGAGCATTGGGGGGAACGCGCCCATACGGGTGAAGTCGCGCTCGTATACATCCACGGAACGGGGTCCTTGTCGAAGCTCCCAAAACTCTCGACAGATATCAATTAATTCCAGAAGACAACCGAAAATCACATGGTAACATCTCCATTGTCCAGCATGGAAAGAACTCATTTGTAATCATAACACGGCTGAATTTCTCGAGCTAAATTCTAGCCTTCAAACATATACCACAAGTACAACAGATTACGAAGAAATATAAAAAATAGTTGAAAACAATATCTTTCTGCAGCAACATGTTAAATGATTCATTCGCACAAAACCATAACTCAATAAAAATCGTTTCACACCCCCAAAACGAAAAGGAGGCAAACTAGAATCATTTGTACAAACCAAGGCAAATTTACAGGCCACAGACTGGAATGTGCTGCAAAGTTGAATGCATAAAAACCCGGGAACTAGGTAGAGAGCAAAACAAAAGGAAGGAAAATAAAAGGAAAAATGAAAGGATTTCGTCGTGACACCAATCAAATAGGTTATATTATATTATAAGCACAACGAATTGAGTTACAAGGATAATTTGGGGTCCACTGTACCAGAAGCACTTCCTTCACCGGATAGGATTTGGTCGGGATCCTGTTGACAATTTCACAAAGCTATAAAATGTTGTGAACTAAGATAGTGATAGTTAGATAAATGAGAAGGGCAAAAGGGTTACCTCTATTCCCCACTTGATATAATCTGGGGACTCACAAGCCTTGTACTCGTCGACAAGACTCTCAATGATGTCTCGTGATTCATCGAATTCAGAAAGATCATTGTCCTGAACATGTTTAATTACAGTCTCATTTAAGAATACGAACAAAAGATTATGAATTCGGGAAAACGCAAATTTATTCAAGTCCTGTGTGATTGTGATATCATTTGTTGGTGAGAGATTAGTTTAGCTTTTTTCTTTCAGTTTAATGGAATTGCGTATAATAGTAATTTGGAATAATATACAAGAGTGTGACCAAAGGTGGGCTGCAAATGGAATAATGGGCATTTAGTGAATTTTTGTGAACATGATTATAGTTTGAAGAAGAAGGGTAGTGTTGAATAGCATAAGCTTTGGTAAACTTTCTCAGAGACAATAATGCGGTGACATGACACTTTTGGTGTAATCTTACCAAAAAGAAAAGATAAAATAAGATGGAAACTGGAAAGATCTGCCAGCAAATGAGACCTTATTCATATTCCTTATTACTTTATGCAAGAAAACTTAAAAGATGAGCACAGACTTTGTGATCAAGTCCTGGTTAAATGCATTACGACGTACTTAAATTCTCATTACATCCACGTTTTTATATAGAAGAAAATATTTATAAGGCAAATGATTTGTAGAAACAGTAATAAAGCAAAATCTGCAGGAATTAAACATCTTGCAAAGTATGTGCATAGACGAAGAGAAATAGAGAACTCACAGCAAACATCGGGTGATTCCTGTAATTATCCAGGAAAGCTTGTCTTTTTCTCAACTTGTCGTACTGGCTTAAACACTTGGAGAATAAGTGACGGATGCCAGTGTGACTGGCTAGCATGAGACCACTAACCTACAAATACACGCACAATGCTTTGATGAGGTATTTACACGTGCAATTTTTTTATAATTGGACCTAAAAAACTAGAAATACATCCACAACTCAGCATAGAAAAATCAAGGAGAGACAGAGAAGTGAAAATATTATTTCACCTGAGCATTGTTTTCTCAGGTTCAGAAAGCAGGCTTAATGCCTTAACCACAAATTAAGTTTCTGCTCTCAAGAAAACTCACTTTGTTTAAATAAATAATTATCAGGGACCTACATTAGAAATGTCATAGCACCACATATGCTCTTGCGAAAGCATGACACTAAATTGTTCTGCTTCTTACCTAAATATGACCCCACAAGGTCAGAAATGCAACCTTGTGCAACATTTGAACCATAGGATTTATCAAGATGATAAAGAGTACATTAATATAAGGTCTGACAACACCATGAGCTATAAAAAAATCAGCAAGACAATAAGCAGTTGCAATAGGAAGTCAAGAAAGCAATTTAATAGGTAGGTATTTCAACATGCTTCACTTCATTCGCCACGCCATGTAAGAGAAAAACATAATAAGATAATGCATTTGTCTTTGCACTTCTGCATTTTTATTTTCATTTTTCCATTTTCCTTAGTTTTTGTTTATTATACATTATCACGTGTCACTGAGAAATAAAGCTCCTGTACAAACAAATCTGGTAAGTAATTGTCAGGATAAAGAAGAGAAGAGGACAGGAAAAATACTAGTAGACACGAGTTGATTATTCATAAATAAGCCATCAATAAAAGGAAATTAAGCCAGTTCAACATAGAAGATACTCAAAATTTTAATAATGGTGAGAAGCAATTATAAAGATGAAACTGCAAAAATTAAAATCTTACCCTGTGGGCTGTCTGAACATAAGGAGACTTTCTAGACAAAGCAACCTATCAAAATAACGAGATAATTTCACTACTTAATACATAACAGGCACAATAAAGCATCAAAGTCTAACCAGTAAATAATTATGAAACATGCCTGTATGCTAGCAGGACCCCATTCAATAAAATTGACAAGTTTCCTCTCGCGTATTCTCTGTAGACTTTCATGAACCTGGTTTGAAATTACAAATTCAGTAAAACAAAGAGTTCAGCAACATTATATGTTGCTAAAAGCTACCATATTTCATTCACCTTATCATATTGGTTTATGTTGCTAAAAAGAAAAAATAATAATCAAAATGCAACAGATGTATACAAATGATATCGAAATGCCAAATTATGCAAAATGACATCATTGCTGAAGTTCGCGTACCCAAAATTATATATAAATATTCCTTTTATCAAAAACTATCAGAACTTCTATTCACATACCTGAGTAGGATCCACTTCTCCTTGAATAATGTTCAATATCGATATGTACTTAGATTGGCTGGCTTCCTTGGTTCGGGCACAAGAGGAAACCATAATATTTTTGGTCTGCAAAAGACAACATTGTGAGAACATTTAGTATACTAGAACAGCCAAATCAAAGATATTTTATCTTGCCTGGAGAAGCCTTCTCATCACATCAAGCACGGTTGTTTTCCGAATGACATTGGCCTGTCAATATGGTGCATCTAAGTTAGATTTCAAGTTTTATTACTACTTTTTATAGAATGCTAAGCACTTGATTGATCAACCATGACATGTTAGAAAGAATATATTGGAAATATATTTTTCAATAGATAAGATGTAAACAACCATAAGTATTCCCAAAAGAGTACTAGTTTCCAGTCAAGGGGGATGCTTCTGTTTAATTCTTCTAGTCAGATTTTGCCGATCAAATTAAACAATTGTCTAGTTTTAGATGTAAAATTTGCTGGTTAGATCTTAGACGAATCTTGAATTTCTGTTTTTGTTGTCAAAACCAACAGCAAGGTGATCCAGGGGTTTCGATGGAGCATAGGCCAGTTAACACAGGACAATCATCACTACAAACATTTCTAATAAAGCTTAGTCACAAAACAAGAAGTGAGTCTATTGAATATAAAAGATGTTAAATATTCAAAGCGAAGCAGCATCACTCACGATTTATATTTTGCAATATAAAATATTTTTTATTATCAATTTGCTAAAATTTCAACATGCTTCTAACATTTCCTAAAAAATTAAGTCTATTATTTTTTAACAATATTTTGCTGCATACTTGACAATTCATTGATAAAACGTCAGCGATAATTGCAACGACAATGATAAGAAGGAAAGTATTACACAAGGCTGATCGTTAGTTAATTTAGAATTATGAAAAGCAGAATCATGTCAACCAATATCTGACCTGGCGCTCCACAGTAAGGGGTGTGTATCCTGTCATTAGAAAGTGGCACCGGGGAGTAGGGATCAAAGAAGCGAGTAGACCAACCAAATCATTGTTCATATATCCTGGATACCGTAAGGTGGTTGTGCTTGCTGACATGACAGTAGAAACAAGAGAATTTGTTTGGGCAAAAGTGGGAGTCGTTATGTGAAGCCGCTCCACAGCAATTCTGTTAAGTGCAGTATTATCAAGAACAACCACGCAATCAGCATTCAGCGTCAGACGTTTGAGTGTTAGAAGAGAGTTGTATGGCTGGACCACGACATCACTGGTTTCGTTTTGATTGGGAAACACACTGTAAGTCTGAACAAGTTTTTTGCTATATCGGTCATTCAGAGTCTCCAAAAGATACGATCCCATGCCTACAACAGAGCAAGTGTATTGCGATAAGCATAAAATAATTAGCAGACTGAATAGGGAGACGACATGGGGATCCTGAAAAAAGAAACAAATAAAGGACATCCTTCAACCCCAATGACGAATAACACCTCTTATGAACATATATGCTGAATAGCCGGGATTTAAGAGCAGCAAGAAACCTCTGATGAACATATACCAGCATCATACGATCGTGATTAAACTTGTAATTTAAGACAATCCAAAGTCTAGACATAAGCATTGTGTCATTATGGATAAATGAAGAGCTTTAAACAAGAATATATAGAACAGGTAAAAGCACCTGAGCCTGTTCCTCCAGCAATCGAGTGGCACAAAACAAAACCTTCGAGACTATCGCTGCCATCTGCCTCTCTATCGATCATGTCAATTAGATCCTCCTCATATTGTTGACCCTGATGAAATAGTGACAGTCTCACATCTAAAATAACAAAACTACACCAATAAACTATGAAGCAATGCCATAATATTAAGAGAAAAACAAAAGTGAAGTCCAAGAAAGTTGTGGGTTACTGCATTAGCCTGAAGATGCCTATGTGAACAATGGGGAAAAAATGAAGCATCATTAGACAGTGTAATCTAGAAAAGGAAAAAGGTAACCTGAAGAGGATGTAAAGTGACTAGAACCGTGGCAGGTATAAGTGCATCATTCACAATAGTTATAATATTTCAGCAAAACAAAGAAAAAAAAAATATGGTTCAACATACCACATAGTTTGCACTTTGCAGTTCTGATTGACTTGGTTTACAATCATATATAAAACATTTAGGTCCAAGCAGCCCACTAATATACTACACATTCACAATTTTGTTTGTAGTATGACAGAGTAAAGGTACATGTATGTTAAATAGGAAGCTCTTCAGACCTGATGGTATCCACTTGCCCAATTGTTACCAGCACCCCCTCCATGATCCGCAATAAATACATTTTCATGATTGTAGAGGTTTCTGTATTCACTGTTCTGTATACCATTTATCACCCTAGGTTCCAAATCCATAAGTAAAGCTCGTGGTATATAATGCTGATCATCTGCTTGATAGAAGAAGACATCTTTTCTGTCACCTCCCTGCAGCATGAGCATTCATATATATATACCTTCATATTGTGTCCATAATGTTAATTTTGAGCAGTCAACTTTCTGACAGGAGTTTGCAACAATCAACAGCTTGACACTAGAACACCCAAACAGATAACTGCATATTTGCGCGACTATGAAGAATTTGTAGCAGTCAATTCCAAAATATATGGGGACTCATATTCTTGTGCATTGTTAATTACTCTAATTCAAAGAAGGAACAGTATCATAACGCGACATTGACATCGTACAAATCAGAAACAGATTATAGTACATCACATTTCAAATGTGTTGTCAATCACAATCTCACTTTTTAGCCTCATGCACCACGAGAGGCTACAATATAGACAATTACGGCATGTACCTCCTCTATAAAAGCATATGCGGACAATGAAAAACTAAGCGTGATTTGAAAGGCTTGCACAAGATATTTGACCCCAAACAAACCTCTACATCTGGAACATAATTCACAGTAGACAAACATGGGTTTTTTCTTCATCAACAAAACCCAATTACCAGTGTTGTACAATATATCCCCATACTTTCACATATCTTTAAATATAACAATAAGTTCAAGTAAACGTAAGCTCAAACTCATCAACACTCGTCTTCGGGCAGCCATATTGACTTCTGCTGGTCCACTTTTCGTACATGAACTCCGTATATTTAACAATACTGCACTCGTTTTAGGAAAATAAGATTACAGGTACAACTCCAAAAGCAGAGACGACGATTCATCACCATTCTCACCAATCTAAAGCTCAACTTTCTTCCCAACTCCAACCAAATAATAAACAAACACAAAATAAAAATGCTAGTACAAGCAGTCAACACATAGAACATCGATTTAGGAACAGTGACCTGAGTGGCAAAATCCTCGAGAATGCCATCTTTGCTGATGCCGTGCTCGAGGCAGAGCTGCTTCCAGAACTCCATCCCGATTTGATTCCCGCATTGCCCCACTTGCAGCGTAATGATTTCCCTCGGCATTTTTCTGTTTTCCCAACCCACGAAATTCAACTCACTAGGGTTTTGGCTATCCTTGTTCGTCTCTGCAAATAACTGATCTGGATGAATGTGTACCAAATGACAGGGAGAGTTTTGGAAATTCGTATCCCCTTTTTTGTACAATGGCGGGGATGGAAAAATTTTTCAAAAGCAAAAGAGATACAACTATAAAAGTGGAGATTGGGATAACATATGAGCATCTCCAATGGCACATGGATTGCTCTCTTTCATTGCCACCTAGCCTCCAAAATCCAATGTGGCACTCGATAATTCTAGAAGTCTTTCTAGATGTAGAAAGACTTCTAGACATCTTCCATTTTGTATTATATTATTTATTTTATATTTATATTTCTACAAACCAATTATTATATTACAAGTGTCAATTTATCCCACAATTGAGATTAATCATTGGAAACAAAATAATTTTATTTCCTTTCTCCACACCATACATTTTAAAATAGACATTGAGTCATTGGAAATGCTCTATGGTGTCTCGCGCAAATTTTTTTCGCTCATTTTGTATTAATAAATATTTTATACATATTATTTACATCATTTTAATGAATATTCGAAATATATATATTTTTAACATCTATTGATATATTATTTATATCATTTACAAATAACCATACTTTTGCTCTCTTTTTTTTTTGGTACAGGGACCTTCCGGTTTCTAGATCCACAGGGGAACCGACTAATTCGGAATCGAGCCGGGTAGGACCACAAGGGCGGCAAAGCTCTCCCTCAAGAGTTTTAACACTGTTGCATTCCCAGGGCTCGAACACGAGACAACTGGTTAAGCTAGAAGAGACCCAAACCATCTCATCCAAGCGCTCTTGGGTTACTTTTGCTCCTTTTTAACTGCCCTCGTAGAGCTTCCCGGGAGCTTGCTAATTTTATAACACTAGTACCAAGGTTATTAAAACCGGACCGTTCATCGAATCGGTCAAGCTACTGGTTCAATGGTTCAGTGGTCCGACCAGTGGTTGAACCGGTTGGACCGTTATTTAATTTATTATTAATAAATATATATAATATTTTATATAATAAAATTTATGTGTAAAAGTTTTATTAATTAAATATTAAGACAATTTAAAACATTCAAACACTTAAACCAACTAATAATACTTTATATATATCGATTATATAAATATGTATTTTTCCATTTGCACAAAAATTAAAAATAAAAAATAAAAGTAGAAGGAGCCACTTTATTTTATTATGCCAAGTGCCAAAGACGTCTTTGAGAATATAGTTTGACATCATATGTCCGAGTCCCAGTACCCCACATCGCTTATTAAATCTAAAATGAAGGGGAGAGTGGCTATAAAAGAAGCACAACTACACTACTTTTCTAGGCCTATACAAAAGAAAAACATCAAATATTTTCTTTTAATAAAGAAATTAATTAATTTTTATGGCCAACAAAACTTGAAAGATGCAAGTCCAAGTATCAAAACAGTCAAGTGCTAAGTGGAAAACCGTTGGCCGAACCGTTTCCGGTTTTACCGATTTTCAGCCGGTTTGAACGGTTTGTTAACGGTTCTTGAGTCCAACGGTTTTATACCTCAAACCAAACTGGTATTATGGCCCGTTCCCAGTTGAATCGGCCGGTCAAACGGTCCGGTTTGATTTTGAGAATAATGATTAGTACAATGTTTGTGTATTACACGGGTATTTGTTAATTTTAATTTTTTTTTAAAATGTAAAATTAATGAAAAAAAAAGTAGTTAAAAATTTAACCTTTTATAAAAATATATATTATTATATATTTAGGTACTTTTTATTTGTGTTTTTTACATGTATTATATTATAATAATTTTTAACTTACAACATATCAATACATTAAACATAAATATATCAATTGAGAAATAATTTAATTTTTCAAATGAATTTTAATAAATATTATTATTATTTTTTATTATTATAAAGATAAATATAATTTATTTATTTCATATATACAATATGGATGTCAAATCGAATATCATTAAAAGATGATTAATTTGATATATTATATATGTAAAACCGATAAGAAATACAAAAATTATCAACTTTTGAAATACATACACAATTCAATAGCTAATTGAATGAAACAAATAAAAAGTCAGGGATATATTAGTCACTTGGTGTCTCTCTATGTAAAATTACAAAGAATTAAAGGGTTAGGTTAGTATAAGTAATATTAAAATACCTAAGTTAGCTAATTAATATTTATGGAATGTCCGAACCTAGATTATTAATTATTAATATATCAATATTATTTATCCAAACCTAATTACGAAGCATGATTTTTCGCCAAATAGGATTCTGAAGCACCAGAAGCAGCCACGTAAGCTAGCGCATTCGAGTATTATATATAAGAAGGATGAAGTGTCTAGAGCCTACAACTCCAACAAATTAAACACGAATTGTTGATTTGGGCGCTTTGACTATCAAATGGGGATTGTTGACCATGAACTTGGTTCTTGATAATAATGGATATTGTTCGATTTTGACTCAACACTGTTGTTGAACTTGCAGTTTTGGTTCCAAATTGGAATTGGCAAACCATCGACTTTCGTTGTTTGAACCAGATTTTATTCAAAAAAAAAAAAGAAGTCAAATCAGTGAATCTGATCCAAAGTGTGTGAAGTGAAGACATATTTTTGAATCCATATTTCAAATTCAGGTCGTGAAATATAGGACTTTTATTTTGACATTATTGCATATCTCGTGCGATGCACGTGAAAGTAATATTAAAGTTATTTTCAAAATTAAATGTTAGACTAAACGATCAAATTAAGATGTTTTAAAATTAAATGTTGGAGTAAATGAACATATTAAGCAGTTGCATAAACCTAATATTGATTTCATTGCGATTTTTTATGTTTCCTTTCAATGTATACACACAAAATATTAGTATGTATATTTTTTGTGATCATGCACAAATTTAAAACTATTCCCTAATTTAAATTTTTCATCATTTATCCATTTATTAATTGCCATAAATTTTAGATATGTCATTTGCTACATCAATTAGATCAAATTATTATAATAAATATATTAATGAGATTTTATAATTCAATTATTGTAGTCACCTCTTAAAA